GGTATCCACTATCCTAATAGATAATGATATTTGTTGACCTTGATAATTTAGTTACAGCAGATGAGCAGATTTATAGGAATTATCAATGTATATCACCTTCAAATCAGACCCTAAACAGTGAACACTGATATTATTTTATGGGTATAAGTTACACATTTTTATTTTTAACAAGGTGTATATTATTGTATTATGTTAGCCCTGGAAATTGCAACAAACATTAATATAAATAAAATGATTAAAACAGAAATTAATTGTACTTATGCCCTGTGTATTTACAGCAAATTTTACTCACTTATTTTTAACTTTTACACCACAAATACAAGTTTTTCAGCATATATTTACTTTGAACAGCTCTTGATGATTGGATAAGAATAGAATATGTTGATAGAAGCATTACACAACATATTTATCTTATTAACTTTTAAAGAAATAAAATACTTTTACATATTTTTGTTCAGGCCTTCAAGGACTATAATATATTTCTGTAATATTGATTGATATTTAAATTATATGAAGATTGAATACTTGTTTTAAAAAAGTGCTTAATTTAAAAATATTTAAAAACAACAAAATGTATTAAAACCCAGATTATCAATAAAAAAAGTTATGATAAACTTTAAATAATTTGTTTTTCTATAAACAATATAATAAGGCCTTAATAATTTGTTCTACAACATAAGTTTTTCAAAAGTCCAAATAATTAATGTTGGTCATATCCTGCCGTAATTTACTTAAATCATTTAATAGTGATCTTATTTGTTGTTTGTCTTGTTGCCATTCTTCTAATTTATCAGTTAATACGTTATGAATCCTGAAAAATATTGAAAAAAAAACAATATAATATAGGTATTTTTTTTTTGTTCTTAATGTAAAAACTAAAATTAAATTATAAAAAAAACTTAAGGTTAATAAAATCTCTAATACATTGACTGCTATAGTGCTATGTGATTGCTTATGAGCAGATGACTATTTTACATACAATATGCCAGTGTTTTAATTTTAGTATTATGCATTGTGAAATAAATAAGTTTTTTTAATCGTTACATAATTTGTATTATAATATTTAATACATTTTTAAGTGTATAGTTAAGATTAAGAGGAYGCCAAAAATCCAAACCTTAAAGTGTTGTCTGTTTTAAAAATTACATCTTAGCAAAAACTACTATGTACGGGACACCAACTGTATTCTCTCTGTGTTAATAGTATAGGATTACAAAAACTGAAAAAATTCCATAAAACATATAGGAAAAAACTTTATCCGTGCAACAGTTTTTTATTTTTTGATAACATTAATGTCATTAATACTTAAAGTCAAAGTTATCATCTTATATAAGTTTTATGTTTTTAGATGCTGAGCGGAGCAATGAATGTATTAATTTTACAATGTACTGTTTTTTTTTGCATATGTACACGATAGGTTGTCAAATAATACTTCGATTTTAACTTCAGCAGCTTATCTGGTTGAAAAGTGAATCTATTTGGTGTACTGGGGAGGTCAAATTTTGAATTTCACAGTATAGTTTTCAAAATTACCGGGAAAAAAAAAAAATAATAAGAAAAAAAGGGAAATTTTATGCAAAATCAATTTTTGAGAAAGTCGAATTTTGATATGAGTGTAACTCTAAAACAAATTATCGTAGCCATTGAAATTTTCACTGAATGTTTATACTGGTATTTTCTATAGGTATTTGATAAAATTTTCAAAATATTTCAACAAAAATTCATAAGTTATTTAATATTTATAGATGTTTGAAATTATCCATTTTTTAAATTTTTTATTCTATAAATGTCAATGAAATTTTATTCATTGGGTCAAAAAACTTGAAAATTGAATACAAGGTTATTTATAAAGTTATAAGTTGATATAATAGCAATTATAAAATATTAAAAATACTTGTCACGTTTTTTTTTTTATAACAATTTGAAGTTCAAATTTGGCAAAATGTATTTAATTGAAAATTTGCAAATTCTTTGGTTGTTAAAAATGTATACAACGTTTAACTTTTATATCTAAGGATTAAAAACTTAAAACAATTGTTTTAAACTTTCAAAG